TGCGGCTGATCCAAGAACAAGCACGATGATCGTAGTTCTTTTCGAGAAGTGGCTCGACTTCTTCTTGATCATACATGGTTTGAGAGGCTTCTTGTTGCCACAGAGATCTGTGTTTCCCATCAAATCAGATGCACTGATGTTTTTGAACACCCCGGATTCAGGAACCTGGCCTTTGAGGTGGTTTGAAGATAGTTTGAGATGTTTCAGAGTCGAAAGATTGGCGAGACTCTCTGGAATTTCACCTGTGAGATTGTTACTAGAGAGATCCAGAGAGACTAAATGCGTCAAGTTCCCGAAGCTCTCGGGGATTTCACCAGAGAGACTGTTCCTTGAAAGGTTCAAGCTTGTGATCATATCCATGCCTCCTTGTTGGAAGACTTCATCTGGGATCTGACCCGAGAGATTGTTCCGCGAAAAATCTAGTAAGATCATATTTTTGCAGGCCTTTAAAGATCTTGGAATAGACCCGGAAAAGAGGTTGTTCGAAAAGTCGATTTCTTGAACCATTTCAAGCTTTCCAAGCTCACTGGGGATGGTTCCTGACAAGAAATTGTTTGAGAAGTTGAGGGTAAGCTGTAAGTTTCTCATCGAAGATATTAGCTCGGCAGGGATGGTTCCGGTGAGAAGATTGTCGGAGATATCTAATGTGTTGAGTTGCGAAAGTGACGTAAGGCTTGTAGGGATAGACCCGTTGAACTTATTTCCATGAAGACCCAAGTAAATAAGCGATTCAAGCTTCGAGAATAAGAAAGGAATTGGACCTGAGAATTTGTTGTTGGATAGCTCAAGCACTGAGAGTTGTTTCATATCAGCCATTTCTTTTGGAATTGGACCTTCGAGATCATTCCTATGCAGCCCAAGCCCCTGGAGGAGAGTGAGATCCGATATCTCCCTCGGGATTCTTCCCGTGAAATGATTAGCTTCAAGTTGCAAGATATTTAACTCTCTTAGATTCCCAATCTCTCGAGGAATCGTTCCAGTGAGAGAGTTATATGACAATTGCAATCTCCTAAGTTTCTGAAGCTTTCCAATTAATGGCTTCAGAGTTCCAGTGAAGTTGTTCTCTGACCAATTAAGAGTTTCCACATTTGAACAGTTGAAGATATCATCTGGAATTTCGCCGGTAAACCGATTCTTCCCAAGAGAAATAAAAGTAAGATTAATCCGTCCTAAGCCGCTCGGAATCTTGCCAGTCATCTGGTTTTTAGACAGGTCCAGGACGCTAAGACCGGTGCAGTTACTTATGCTGGAAGGTATTGATCCGGTAAGGAGATTGGTGTGCGCTGAAAGGTTCCGAAGATTTGTAAGAAGCCCTAGATCCCCCGGGAGCTCTCCGGAAATACGGTTGAACCCCATCGTTATCACTGTCAAGTTCCTCAAGTTTGTGATTGACTGTGGAAACTCCCCTGTTAAGTTGTTGGAATGAAGTGTAAGGACTTGGAGTGATTTGAGAGAACCGATTTCTTCCGAAATTGGTCCAATCAACTGGTTTTCTGATAATCCCAAATGTGTTAACCGCGTTAACCGAAATAATGAAGATGGAATTGTAGAAGTAAGCTTATTACTGTATACCCGGAGTGCTTCCAGCTGAACCAAATTCCCTAATTCAGCTGGTATACTCCCGGTTAACTGGTTACCATACAGCTCAAGTTGGTTTAGGCTCGTGCAGTTTCCGATCTCAGCCGGTATTTCTCCTTCTAGCAAGTTATCAGTTAAAACTAGAGCCTGTAAGTTTGAGAGATTTCCCATCTCTCTTGGTATTTTACCGGTTAACTGGTTACCACTCAGGTCTAAATCCGTCAGATTAACCAAAGAACCAATTGATATCGGAATCGAACCACTGAACCGGTTTAAGTCTGCCAAAAATATCTGGAGATGAACCAAATCTCCTAAGCAATCTGGTATTTCCCCGGTTAAGTTGTTGTTTCCAACTCCTACTAAAGCCAAAGATATAGTTTTGCAGATTGCTTTAGGAAAATCACCGGTCAACAAATTATTTCTCAGATCAAGATACACAAGATTCTTAAATTCCCAAATAACTGAAGGAATCGAACCAGAGAAATAATTCAAGTAAAGAATGAGCTGGTTAAGCTCGGCTAGTTTCCCGATTTCAACCGGTATTTCGCCAGTAAAATGATTTGAAGTGAGATCAAGAACCTGGAGATAGGTGAGATTTGCTATGGCTGGAGACAGAACACCCTCAAGTTGCTGCTCCATCAAGGTAACCGAGACAACATGACCAGTACGATCGCAGGTGATTCCGGTCCAATTGCAGTGTCGTACCGAACCGGTGGTGGTCCAATCCGACAACACTCCTAAAGGGTCATTGGAAATGCCATTCTTGAATGATATAAGAGCTTCAATCTCTTGTTCAAAGCTCTGTTTCGCAAGTGAAAAGCCAAAGAAGAAGATAATTAAGATCAAAATGGTCTTTGAGAGTGACTTCATGGTTTAGATGAGTTGAAATTGGTGAGAAATTGTTACGAGGGAATTATCTATATATATATGCACAAAAAAAAAAAGAAAAATGGATTTGATGGTTCATGTCAGGGATGTGAAACGAGCGAAGACGCAATAACATAATTCCACAATTCACATAAGTGATAGTTCGGCCAAGTTGCATATAAAGCCACTAAATGCATTCCCACTAGTACACATTCTTGTATTATATATCATATTCATTTAATCTCATGATATACATATCAATCATATGACCACTCTGTACCTTACTAGTTTGCGATAGTGTTGTTGATACACTGTATATATCATATTCTATAACATATTTATGTAGATTTTTCGATTTGGTTATGAACTGTTGATAAACACACAGTGAGATTCACTAAGATTAAATCAATATCTTTTTGGGTACAATATCGCTCACATTCTTTTGTTCAAATTCTAAAGTCCAATTTTCTAAACTTGCTTTGGACACCAAGACTCTAGACACTATATATAAAATAAACTAATTTAAGTAAACAAAATAAGGAGTAGAGAAATCATTAAGGGATCACCAATTCACCATACATGATGATATAGTTGATTTGTCGACAACCTGTTTTTGGATAATATGCTTACATGACCTTGAGGTGATGAGGTCCTTGACCCATTT